ATAGTTGCTATTGAAATGTTAAACAAGGAAAAATTACAAAGTAAAGCGAATATTCGGCACCATTTCTATGTGTAATGTAATCAAATATAAGTGACCATGTGCAAAAGATCAGATTTCCTTGCTTCCATTGAAAATTCTTGAACAATAAAATTCACAACTGGATTGTTTAATTGCATGTTGATCATGCTGTTATTTTAGCCACAAAGGAACTTATTTATGGAGAAAAATGCATGTTGGGACATTTATGTTGAGTTGAATCAAAAGGCGGCACAGTGCATAGTTACACGACTGTGATTGCACACACTTCTTGAATTATGCATCAAAGGACTTATTCAGCTCCAATCCATAAGTTTCAAATATCCTCCTGATCACAAGTTGAGCTCCAATAACAGTGTTACCACGGAAGCCTGGGTTATGTAACGTTACATAACAGACAGGCGGTATGAGTAATATTTCATAACACTAGACCCTGACACCATGGCATCATCTCTCCTTTGCTCTTTTCTCTCACTTCATCTCTCTTCTGATGTTGAAATCAATGGCGTTATTTAACGGAAAGTTCCCTTGACGGCCATTGATGGCTTGGTATCAAACGAAGCGTGTCGTTGCGGGGCGGCTGTGTTTTTCCCCCTCGATCTGCCTCCGTCTGTCAAGCACTAGACTAGACACTTTCCTCATCCAAATTTTGATATCAAAGGGTCATCAAATTCATCCCCCACGCTCGACTCTGCTCGCCCTGATTTCTCTCTCCCTTCAGTCCCCCTGAGTGCTAACAGGGTCAGGCTAGGGTCATGGCACAGATGCACGCCATCCACCAACAGGCCATGGCAAGCAACCGATCACAGATCCCAAACTGCAAAACCACTATCAAGATGATTTTCTGAAGACAATGGATTTTATACTGCTGCAGATTAATAATCAACAACAAGCTCTTTGTTAGATCAGACATTATAAATTCGGAAGCTACAAAATATACAGTAGATGCATAACGGGAACGCCGAGCAGAAATATTCGACCACATCCTCTTTATATATATTTTTTTCATCCATTTTACCCCCAAAAAACAAAAGCAAAATATAAACTTGTTAAAATGGGAAACATAAAGCATAAGGAATTAACTAGATTACTTCTTTAACTAATATTCAATATTCATATACGGAACTTTCGAGTCAGGTGGCGTGTCATCTCTACGCATTTTGAGCTATCCGCGTGTATGCGTATATGTCTACGCCATTAACCTCCGCGTCATTCCGCGTGTCTGTACACGCAGTCAAATCTCCAGTCATAAATGCCATTAACCCCAGTGACGGTTAAGTTTAGGGATAGGGTTGAGGTAAGTCATATCTTTTTTTTACCTAGGATGGTAAGGGAACAGTCATAAATGCCATTAACCCCAGTGACGGTTAGGTTTAGGGATGGGGTTGAGGTAAGTCATATATTTATATAATTTTTATAAGTCAATGGCGTTCATAAACATGCTGAAAGGCGATTATGCGTCTTGATAGCACGCCAAAAATGGAAATACGAATTGGCGTGTCATACACACGCTACTTCATGAGATCAGTCTGTAATATTAGTTAATGAAGAATGAACTAATATTGGGCTCTATCTTGCACCCGGCGCAAATTACTTTATATAGTACACTAACGCATGTATCATTCCTATTTTGCAGCCGCGCAAAGCGGGCTTTTCCCTCCACAGACGCACGTTGGTAAACTAAGGAATGAACTTGCGCTGCCTGGGCAGGTCGGCGCAAAAAGGAGGCGTGTTTCGGCGCAAAAATTCCCTAGTGCTATTTTGCAGTTCCAGAAAACTATTCCGCCACGGACCAGAAAAAACCTAGTCTAAAGTCAGTGGCGCATTGCGCGTTGTTTATAATGCTATTTTAAGCGCGCATGCTTGGCCATAATGTAGCGGGTGCACTGCACAACGTGCATACACTTTGATTCTCTCATCAACACAGATGCAGCAGTTTTTATTTTTGCAAATCATACATTACAACCACGAAAAATATTAACATATGAGGGAAATGATTGTGGTGTCCATGAAGATTAAAAAAAATGTAGGCCTAAATCTAGCTTACACGTTTACCCAAATCTTTCAGGCTAATTGTAGTAATGACCGATCAGACCTGTTTGCCCAGTAGTGGCAAGACACATACTGTATAATGTTTAACCGACGCTGATTTGGGTGGGTTTCTCCCATACAACATCACTGACAAGATCATCAGTCTCCTCAGCTGTGAACGCTCCTGGTAAACCTGACATAATAACAATCCGCCATGCAACATGCACACCTGCTCTTAAAGGGTATGTTGGATGATGCTCTGATTGGTTTATTCCACGTTACGCCCAAACCACACCTATGAATAATGAAGCTATTTCAGACCAACCCATTTTAAACTTGCGCCCGGTGCAAGTCATTTATCCCGCCGGTAAAATAGCAACAGCGCCCAAGACCCGCCCACAAAGTTACTTGTGCTTTGCGCTTGATACTTGCGTTTCAGATCGTTAAAATGGGGCCCATTAAATTATTATTGCTTGTTAAGGAACTGGTTCAAAAGTCAAACCAATACAAACAAAAAAAACACCACCACAACCTCAAGTGTAAAGAATCGAAAAATAAACATGACCAAACAAGAATCAAAAGAAATCAGACCATTCATACAAAATAATTCAAATGGTCAGTATCACTAATCAGTATCAAGTCAATCTTTTGAAATCCAGTTTTTGATTATGCATTTAAAATTTATTAAAGGGATAGTTCACACAAAAATGAAAATTATGTCATCATTTACTCACCCCCAAGTTGTTCCAAACCTGTATGAATTTCTTTCTTTATATATATATATATATATATATATTGAAGAATGTCAGAAACCAAACACTTGATGGGCCATTGTTTTTCCATACTATGGAAGTCAATGGACTCCATCAACTGTTTGGTTACTGACATTCTTCAAAATATCTTCTTTTGTGTTCAACAGAAGACACGATCATCTCTTCATGATTATATTTCAATAACAAATTGGAGTTAAAACATACAAGTAAATTTTGAAGTTAATGAAAAAACTGCCTCATGTGCATTTTACATGTTTGCATACAATTTATTATTTGAGTGTTCATTATTATATCTTAAAATAAATAGAAACTGAATTTAGGCTTATATAATACCTTAAATATTATAGTAATGTACAAGTAAGGGCTCCCTAAATAGCAGAGATTAAAAACAATGTATACTTAAACTTTTAATTATAACTGAATTCATTTAAAGACAAAGACAATTTGTTCAGTAATCCACTGTTTAATAATAAAAAAATATATATAATGTTTAATTTTCTCCACTCTGCTGCACCGAAATGTGACATCAAAACTGAGGTACATACCGAACCGCCAGTTTTGAGTACCGTTACACCCCTACTGATGTTAGTTAAATAAACAGTTCCTTTAAACAAAGTCTGTCCATAAAAATTACACAGCACACATAATGCTCATAAACACAATACAGATATACAAATCATAAAACAACAGTATATGTATCAAAATGATAGCTCACCCAAAACTGATTTACTCACCCTCATGTTGTTCTAAAACTGGAACATAAAAGAAAATATTTTTGAGAAATGTCTGTGTAATTTTGCCCATACAATGGAAGTCAATGGTCAACTTAAAAGTCAAAGTTGTTCCACAGAAGAAAAAAAGTCATACAGGTTTACTTTAAGACAGAATTGTCATGTTTAAGTGAAAATCCCTTTATTATGTCTAGTTTCCCATTTAAAATGCAGAGCAAAAATGAAAACTTGCTTGAGGAGCACAACCTTACGAAATCCACAAACACAGTTATTCTCATTACAAAATGCTTACAGACACACACCCACACACGGACAAATGTTACACCTACCAGATCCAGGTGCATTAAGGACAGCAGCAGAAAATGATTAAAACCAGACACTCCCTCTGTACAAAAATGTGGAGAAATACCACAATAATCCACAAAAATCTCATCCAGAATGAAAGGAGGGAGAAATTTCTCAGAGGAAACAGAGGTACGAACATCACGACAAACACAGACAGAGCTGGAGCGTTTGGCTTTCGTGCATTTCAACAACAATGTATCTGATTTAATGCCTCGATGCACCGAGCAAACCCCTGGATGAGATGTGCACTTCACCACATGTGTCCACGATCTCGGTCGCTCTTCGTTAGTGGTTCCGACGATATATCTCCCAAACGTTCGCAACAAAAACGGTTTAGATTGTTACTTTTCCAAACTCAAAAACTGAGCGTGCCTTTTTGCCAAGAGCTAATTGTACAAGTCAACTATGACACACATACAGGCCCGAGATCTGTGGCCATTGTCTATGATTCCCCTGAGCTAGCGGTCGACCGGATGGATGGATGGACAGTTGTGGGGGTTCCCGGATGAAAGGATGATGGGCAGAGGAAGTAAGGGGCATACTGGGAACGCCACAAAAGACAGAAACAGGGAACGAGAACGACCCCCACAATTCCAAGCACGGTTTACCCTCCTGCATGTTCAAGCATGCATGGTGAATACACACGCACTCACGACACACACATCCAAACATACATGCAGAATCACTTACAGACAAAATCTACCGTGCAAACTAACAATATATTTGCAGCACAAGCATTAGACAAGGAAAAGTGAAGGAATGAAGAAACGATAAGTCCGTTCTCATCACACATGCTTTGATTCTTTGCTCCGCCGATGCCTGAACGCTACACATCCCCAATATCAGCCCCGCACAATATAAAACAATGCAACCCATAGAAAACTATACAGTTATGTTACGTTATTCAACAAGACGGAATTGAGGAAACAATAATAGAGAAAAAAAATAACGCTTTTGAACATGATTTCAAAAAGTGAATGAGAACGAACAGAGAGGTAAAGTCGAAAGATACAGATTGACAGAATGGGATAGTGACTGATGAAAAAGAGAGAACTAGAGGGTTAAAACAGAAAGACGAGAGTACCAGTCTGGTCGTTCCTCCTCCTTTTCCCGCGGTTTCGTTGATCCCACGTTTGGTTCTTTCTCTCGTTGCTCCGGGTCCTTCCACCTCTCCACTATCCCAGCGGCAGTCACTTCTCTCATCTCAGTGTTTCCTTCCAAACCACGTTTTTTCCTACTACCCATCCCATCAGCCCATTTCCTACTGTTCATTCAGCAATCGGTACTGCTTTCAAACTATGAATGCAAGATTTTTGTGGGATAGGGCTGGAAAAATATTCAACAAAAAACATGAATAAAAAAAATTTGAATGTAAGTGAAGTTCAGAGGAGAGCGGACAGTGACCAGGCACCGAGACAAGTAGGAAAATGAGCTGTTGAAGGGGCCTGGTATTTTAGGGAGGCATGCAGAGGGGTGGGGGGGGGACCATTAGAAGGGCTGCGCGTGTTTCTCCGTCCAGGAGGGAGGAACACGGATGAAGCTGCCAGGCTGCGAGGATGAGAAGCACTGCAGTCGCCGGAGAGAGGAAGAGAGAGAAAGAGAGAAATCGTAAGGGCGCATGTGTACGCAAACGACCGCATGAGGAGGTGGGAGGGGAGAGAATGACAGAGAGGGAACGATAGATAGAAAAGCGAGGCTAAGGGGTTCACGGGAGGGAGGGAAGAAGGAGGAGTGAGCCATAGCCGAGAGTTCAGGGGAGGGGGTCGGAATACATTTTCTTGTCCTCCGCTCTCATCTCCTGGCGTTCGATTTTCTTTCATTTGTTCTTGTGTGTTCTTTTTTTTTTAATCCAATCTCACCTTCTTGGTTCCAGGGCAAATATCTGTGCCTGGAAAAGAAGCGGATATTCCAGTCTGTGCTTTCCCGTTCCGCTCTCCGTCTCACTGTCTTCCAGGTCATTTTCTCCACATGCACTTGAACTCCAAATCCTGTCTGCCGGCCCCTCCCCCCGACCTCTGTGACTCGCTCTCCTTTGCTCCTTCTGATGAAGGCTTGAAATAGTGCTCGCAGGCTGTAAGTGAGAATGAGAGCGAGGGGAGGACGAGGGGGACAGAAAGGGAGAGAGACGTGGGGGGAAGGGGAGAAGGTTTACACGAACAGGCTCTGTGCCGAGAGTGAGTCTGTGTGTCAGACGGAGAGAAAAGGAGAGGAAGAAACCCTGTGCACATACATGTGTTCAGAGATTTGGTTCTCAGAAATTACAGTGAACTGCAAAAAACATTAATTCTTGGAACCAATTTTAAACAGGGGCATCTATTGTCTTTGAGGGGCCATGGCTCACTTGAAAAAACTCCTTTTAACAACTTAGCAACTATTTATATGTGTGCTAAACTACTTCTAGTTTCTAAATAAACTGAAACTTTCTTTGTATGGAAAAGACATGAGATTTCTATAATAGCCTAATTCCACAGGACAAAGTCATACAAGTTTTGAAAAAGAGTTGAAAAAAGTTTTGACTGAAGCAAATTAACTGACTGGACTTAACCACATGTTAATGGGTGGTTATGTCATAGAATTGAAGACAACTGTTTTTCTACCTACAATAATCCATACACTCACCTAAAGGATTATTAGGAACACCATACTAATACTGTGTTTGACCCCTTTTCACCTTAATTCACCAGAAACTGCCTTAATTCTATGTGGCATTGATTCAGCAAGGTGTTGAAAGCATTCTTTAGAAATGTTGGCCCATATTGATAGGATAGCATCTTGCAGTTAAAGGAGATTTGTGGGATAAAGATGCTCTATTGGGTTGAGATCTGGTGACTGTGGGGGCCATTTTAGTACAGTGAACTCATTGTGATGTTCAAGAAACCAATTTGAAATGATTCAAGCTTTGTGACATGGTGCATTATCCTGCTGGAAGTAGCCATCAGAGGATGGGTACATGGTGGCCATAAAGGGATGGACATGATCAGAAACAATGCTCAGGTGGGCTGTGGCATTTAAACGATGCCCAGTTGGCACTAAGGGGCCTAAAGTGTGCCAAGAAAACATTCCCCACACCATTACACCACCACCACTAGCCTGCACAGTGGTAACAAGGCATAATGGATCCATGTTCTCATTCTGTTTACGACAAATTCGGACTCTACCATCTGAATGTCTCAACAGAAATCGAGACTCATCAGACCAGGCAACATTTTTCCAGTCTTCAACTGTCCAATTTTGGTGAGTTCTTGCAAATTGTAGCCTCTTTTTACTATTTCTAGTGGAGATGAGTGGTACCCGGTGGGGGTTGCTGTTGTAGCCCATCCGCCTCAAGGTTGTGCGCAACTTTGCTGCATACCTCGGTTGTAACGAGTGGTTATTTCAGTCAAAGTTGCTTTTCTATCAGCTTGAATCAGTCGGCCCATTCTCCTCTGACCTCTGGCATCATCAAGGCATTTTCGCCCACAGGACTGCCCCATACTGGATGTTTTTCACTTTTCACACCATTCTTTGTAAACCCTCGAAATGGTTGTGCGTGAAAATCCCAGTAACTGAGCAAATTGTGAAATACTCAAAATGGCCCATCTGGCAACCACAACCATGCCACGCTCAAAATTGCTTAAATCACCTTTTTTTCCCATTCTGACATTCAGTTTGGAGTTCAGGAGATTGTCTTGACCAGGACCACACCCCTAAATGCATTGAAGCAACTGCCTCTTGATTAGATAATTGCATTAATAAGAAATTGAACAGGTGTTCCTAATAATCCTTTAGGTGAGTGTATATATGAAGAATAAAGCTAACTGTTATAGTTGTCAAAACATAAATAAATGGAAATATACATTTCATCTACTAGAGTGATTAAAAAATCTGAGACCACACTGAAAATGTGTGGTTCACAAACAAAGAATTTTTGAAATGTTAACAAAGAAACATCATAAAGTAAAGTGAATAAACATATATAATATACACAGATGCCACATTAACGGCTGTTTCTATGGAAAAACATTAAAAAAGTACCATGGTAAAAACCTGCAATATTGGGTTAAAAACAACCAACACATTTTCACCTGTGAAAGGTTATCCCATTACTTCAGGAATTTAAATCTCAGCGGTTTGACAAAGCAATGTGTGGTGGCATCTTTTATTCTTATACTGTGAGTGACAACACGCTGATGGCGCCGCCATCTTGTTTGGACCAACGTGTCTGGAGCGGTCGAATCTATGAAGATAATTATGCAACTAATTAAGTAATTTTTTTATCTGCAAGTTGAAAATCTGGTAAGTCTAAAATAAATACAGTGAAATCAATAGTGTTATATTTTGGGTGCTGCAACAATACAACTAGTTTAAGTGTTGGGTATTACGTTTTTGGATTGAAAATAGTGATTTCACATGAGGCAAAGTAACCGCAAAATAGTTTAGTGAAATTAACAATGTCACTAAAGAAGAATATCAATAACCAGACAGTTTCTGGTCTCATTGACTTCCGGAAGTCAATGAGACCAGAAACTATCTGTTTACTGATATTCTTCTAAATATCAGAAAATCGGCTGAATGGATTCGAAAACAGTAAAACTCTTTAAAACTGTTTAACTCTGGGGGAGTTGTAAAATTAGCCTATTTCCAAAAAAACTGGAGTATCCCTTTAAGTCTTACAGGGATTTTGACATCATGAGAGTGAGTAATTACTGACAGAATTTTCATTTTTTGGTGAACTATCCCTTTAACATTGTAGTTCCCAGCAATAATTAATCTCTTACATGGTCGCTTGAAAATTTAAAAGGCTGATTCACGCTTCACGGTAGTGACAAGCAAATGACGTCCAGTGATTGTCCAGACAACCTTGGCACAACCTCAAGCAATGGCCCTGAACTGTGGTTCAATGTCAACATTGTGACAATGCCTTAACAACCTTTACCCTTTAGGCCATGTTGACGTTGAGTATATGTCGTCCCAACGTTCTGTGTTTGCTGGGTATTTTATGCCCGCACACTTTATTTGCTTCTATTTAACACAATGATTATCAAATCAAAATAACAAATATGTTACAGTGACGAGATAAAAAAAGAACTAGAATCGGATGCATTCTGATTTGTTTCTGTTAGCTGCATGAACATATCAATTTGCTTTCTCAAGCCAACATAGCTTTCAACTTTGCTTGCAAACGAATGCATAAAAATGACCATCTGGATATAAACGAATGCAAACAGATGGTAAAAAATCGTGAAATTAAACATTTTGGTCGGCATTTTGCCTGTATTTTTCAAGTTAGTTTTAACCGTTTGAGGTAAAGCGTCCTCTCTAATTTACCTCGATGGCGTTTTATTTAACGTTTCTGGAGTTGTCCAATAATACAGCATCTAGTCAACAAATTATTTACTTTATAATGTCAAGAAAAATACTGAGCAGTACTTTATAGTTACCATATCATCGTCTGTTTTAAAACTGCATCTGTCCCGCTCCGTGCGCGCGCAGCCTTCACGTGTCAAACTCTACGAGGAGTCAGTGGTATTTTTGATTTCGCCTCTAGAGGCCGCTCTTGTAATCGATTTATTAAATGATTCAATGTCTCGCTCATACAAAAAGTAACTTGTCGCCACCTACAGTTAAAGAAAGGGTCTAATTAAAGTCTAGAGCAACCTAATGTTTAAAGATCTGATAAGCCAGGAAAATTTATTAGTGAGATAACAACCCTGCATTAACAACACTGTGCTATGCCCTTCAATAAGACACTCAACCTCAAGCTGCTCCAGGGGAATCGTCCCTGCAATTAGTGTACTCTAGGCTAATAGATAAATCTCGCTTAACAGGGCCGGCTATGTCCTGTTGCGTTTAAACTAAGCATTAATGTGTAATCCTATTAATTATTGGTGCTTTCTAAGGCTAATATTGTAATTTAACATACTTACCCCTCTTACTTTCTTTGGTGTGTGCATTTTGGCCTCTAAATTATCAACAAACATGATAAATGTCAATAAATGCCTTATGTCATCTAATTCACAATTTATACTTTTTGAATAAATAAAATAATTCTATAAAACATCTACCTTCAGGTTGTTAAACACCTTTTTGCTGTGAAATTTGGAATGCTTTCTTTATAAAGTAAAAGTAAATGTAAGAATAACTTTTACTGCATATTGATACAGGCTTTTGAGGATATTTATTTGTACGTCTCAATCATCACTGGATTGCATTGTATGTTTTGAATGAAAACTAGAGCTTAAAGTAAGATTTAAATATCATCTTGCAAAGACAGAGTAAAGGATATGCTATGCAACATGCCTGCTATAATGTTATGAAGATTGATATAATTGATTTACATTACAATCTTTCATATTTTTTGGCTCTCTATTACACCAAATTGCATATTTTTGGCTCAGTTTGAACCTCTGAATAAAACTGTTTTTTCATCCTCGATGAGCTCTATATTATATTGTTCTATTTAAACCATAAAAGCTTGATTTTTCAAATATGAAACAAACTGTTCCAACAAAATATTATTTCATATATCAGGTTTTACATGGTTAAGATGAAAAACAAACCCCTAACCGTAAATATTACACCTTGACACTTAACTAGTCCTGCACTGGTTGTGCTATTGAAATACCACAATTCATATAGGAACATTTTTAAACAAAGAAATTATTTCTATTTTTGTTTATTATATTTAAAATGTTTTTCTGAATCAGGCGAGTAAACAACCACCTAACAATATATCTAGCAATGCAAAATATATAGCAATGCACTATTAACCACCTTAGCAAGCACTTACACTCTAAAAAAATGCTGGGTTGTTTTAACCCAACTTTGGGTCAAATATGGACTAACCCAGCCGTTGGGTCAAATTTTTACATTACATT